ATGACTTTCTTTCTATAAGTTGTGATTCTCGCTTTATTCGTTTACGTTAACTTGAAAGAGTGCTTGATTATTTTAGGTAAAAAGGCTCGCATTTATAAGGCATTCTTATTGTTTTCGAGCTAACATTAACATTTTTAGAAGTTATCATTTATATTTTGAAGTGAAAATTAGTAATTAGAAGTCATAAGAAAAGAAACATATCATTAGTCTATATCTAATTTAAAAAATTCAGATCAAATTGAATAGTAATGATATGAATCATTTCCGAAAAATTCAGATCAAATTAATGATCAAATTCAGATCATTAATTTTTAAATCATAGGGGAAACTACTAGTATCAAATAAGCTCTCGAACTTACAAAAAAAGGGCAAATCACCCCTTATATAGGAGGCTCTGTCCGGCCGTCGCCCTTTGGGGCTGTTCCCGATAGAATTTCTTGATGAAATTTTTTCATCATCTTATTCATGAAATCTAGTTTACTCATACCAAATTTCAGCTAAAAATTCATCGGGAATGCAGTCAAATGAATTTTTGAAGATAACTGCGCAGTTAAACAACACAATATATTTCAGAAAATCATTTAACTGCCTTACTGGTTGAATTTTTAACTGGAATTTGGTAGGGCTAAACTAGACTTAGTGAAGAAGATGATGAAAAACTTTCATCAAAAAATTTCACCGAGAACCATCCCAAAGGGCGACGGCCAAACTGAGTCTCCTATATAAGGGGTGATTTGCACTTTTTTTGTAAGTTCAATGGCTTATTTGATCGTTCACCCTAAATCATATAAAAAAGTTGCATATCATACTAGAGACACAAAGATTAGATAAAATGCTAAGAGCCTATTTATTAACATATATATTTTCCAGAAAAATGGAAGAAAAAAACGTTTGTGCTACAAAATTTTGCTGGTATAGTGGAAAAGGAAAACAAGAAAATGTATTTACCAAATCATTTTCCAATATAAAATCAAATAAAATATGTCTCTATTTTCCTTAATGAATCGAAGAAATGGGGTTTACTGGTTTTTCAAATTTGAAAAACGCATATTTTGTAGTGTCGCTATAATTAATTGGCATGCTTATATTTAGTGGTGATTTCGATCCCGCTTTGATATCAGTTCCGTCTGGTCCGATCAACAATCCGAGGTCCCTGTCTGGTCCGACCGACAGATGAGCAGTCCCAATTTTGTCCCTGTCCGGGTATAGTACCATCAGTCCCTATCTGATCAAGCCGACGAACGGGCAATCCCGAGCCGATCCGGTCCAGTCAACAACCTGACGATCTTTGACCGGTTGGATCAATGCCCTGACAGTCCTCGTCATGTCCGACTAATGACTCGGCACTATCTGTCTAGTCCAGTCGCCAAACTAACAATCCTAAGCCAGACGCCGGCCAGTCTCGTCAATGACCCGATGACCCCTATCCGATTAATCAACGACTCGGTGATCGATCCTCGTTTTTGTAAATCAATTTTTACAGTAAAGAGTTTCAAGAGTCATTGAATTGTCACCCAATAGAAAAAATTGAAAAGAATTAATCAAACTAACCGTTGGGACCCAGCCAGTTTCGGTCCCAACTTGTTTTACCTGAGACCATACTTACGTTCTACCAATCGGTCACAGAATCATGTGAAAAAAATTGATGAACATTTTTTTAAATTTAAAAATGGAAAACTAGAAATTGAAAACAGAAGGAAAACTAGAAACTGGAGATTGAAAACCCAAAAAATGAAAGCGAAACTTAGAGAAAAGAAAACTGGAAAATATTGTTGTTATAAACAAACTTTTAGTGGTGAATTATCTTATTTAATTATTGTTAAAATAACCCCACTTTACTTTATACCTATTAAAACCACTTTTCACAATATAGTCGAATTATCTTATTTAATTATTGTCTAAATAACCGTGACATTTTGTAATGAGAACCTATAAGGCTTTAAGCGGCACCAAAGTATAATCATAATATTTACTATTTAACATTTTCTTTTTAAGAAAATAAAGTGTTTGGTTTGAAAATATAAATAGTGGACCCTGGGAAGTTAGTCTTGAGAGTATTGACTATTGAGACGTTATTGTTAAAATAACCCCACTTTACTTTATACCTATTAAAACCACTTTTAACCACTTTTCACAATATAGTCGAATTATCTTATTTAATTATTGTCTAAATAACCGTGACATTTTGTAATGAGAACCTATAAGGCTTTAAGCGGCACCAAAGTATAATCATAATATTTACTATTGAACATTTTCTTTTTAAGAAAATAAAGTGTTTGGTTTGAAAATATAAATAGTGGACCCTGGGAAGTTAGTCTTGAGAGTATTGACTATTGAGACGTTAGAGTTTAAGGTTATACTACGTAAATCATTATAAAACTACAAACCATGTTCGAATATTTCTTTATTATCATAGTAAACCAACACGCATTTTTAAATTGGGATAAGGGTCAGTTTGGTCCTCGAAGTAACAAAAAAAGGGTCAAATAAGTCCTTATGTAGAAGATTCTGTCCGGACGTGCCATTTGAGGTGGCTCCCGGTGGAATTTTTTGATGAAATTTTTTGAGCATCTTATTCATTAAGTCTAGTTTACTCATACCAAATTTCAGATAAAATTCAATGGGGAAGACATTCAAATGAATTCTTGAAGATAACTGTGCTGTTAAAAGCGTTGTTATCTTCAAGAATTCATTTGAATGTCTTCCCGATTGATTTTTTTAGCTGAAATTTGGTATGAGTAAACTAGACTTAATGAATAAGATGCTAAAAAAAATTATCACAAAATTCCACCGGGAGCCACCTCAAATGGCACGTCCGGACAGAATCTTCTATATAAGGACTTATTTGACGCCTTTTTTGCAACTTCGAGGACCAAACTGACCCTTTACTCTTTTTAAATTTTACTTATGCCGGAGTGCCGGACAAATACTCCATATTCACTTTGACTTAGTTATTTTGGGAAAAGTATAGCAACATGAATTTCAAATTTTCATAAACTCCTGAAAAAAGAAAGCAACATGATTGAATAAAAAAAGTGATACATCACCTTCTTCCTAATCGGAGAAGGATGAAAAACCTTGTGTGAAGGAAAGGCTTTTTCAGTTGCTGTTTACGCGCTTCCCACACTAGGAGAAGTCACGAAAGTCCCTACTATACTTGTCTAAAAGACAAAAAGAGAAAAAAAATCTCAAAGTAAAAACACATGCTCCACCGTATAAAAAATGATCTTTGTACCCTTTTTAAAAAGGATTATTAGCTAAATATATCTCCTTTCACTTTTATTTAAAAAAGACTCAAAGTTCAAATTTTCTCACGGTGACAAACTTACACTTTCATAGATGAATTACTAAAACTTAATAACAATATCATATTTACATTTCATATTTTTCACTCCTATGTTTACAAACTTGTATTACTTATAGGGGTGGACCGGTTCCGGTTCGGGCCCGGGCCCGGCCGGGCCTCGGTTCAGAAAAAGGAGGCCCGGGCCCGAACCGGTGGTGGGCGGTTCCGGTTCCGGTTCCGGGCCAGAACCGGGCCGGGCCGGGCCACCCGGAATGTTTTTTTTTTTTCTTCTTCTTCTCTTATTTAACCCCCTACCCCTCCCCCTCCACCCCAAACCACCCCAAACCACCTCAAATGGCCCAAAATACCTAATCCAACCCAAAACTTAAAAAAATTTCAAAAAAAAAAAAAAATTAAATTCCGGCCCGAACCGGGCCCGGCCCGGCCGGGCCGGTTCACTAAACTGGAGGCCCGGGCCCGGACCGGTATACCACCGGGCCTGGAGGCCCGAACCGGAACCGAACCGGTTGACCGGGCCGGTCCGGGCCCGCACAGTAGCGGGCCGGTCCGGTTCCGGGCCGGTTGGCCCGGCCCGAGTCCATCCCTAATTACTTACATCTTATTGACGTTGATAAATTTGTACTTTTGAAAAAAACAAAGAAGAAAATCATAATTGTTTTTTTTACTGCAAGAAAACCATAATTGTTGAAAAAGAAGAAGTTTGAATGATTTTTGATAAAAAATGAAATAATATGATTATTTGTGAATTTGATAGTAATTTGACATAAAATAAACTAATAATCCATTTTAAAATAGTCCAAACCACAAATATCTTTCTTGTACTTTTTCCATTATTTTTAATAGAAAATACGGAACATTTGAAATGATAATTTGTAAAAAAGCAATGTTCCAATCACTTTTATTTATTTTCATAATTTATCATTCTATCTTTTACATATGTCCACCCTACTTTTTTGCTTGGTAAATTCTTATGTTGTGTGGCATCGATGGCGTGAAAATCTAAGGCAAAATCATTGATGAATAAACATTAATTGTGCCTTTGTGCATAGATAAACACTTTTTATTTCCACTATGTTACATTCAGCACGAACGAGCTATGGAGAACTTTTACCATGATTTGGCCGGCTGCCTTCCGAGTTCTGGTCGCATAACTGCCTTGAAGGGAAACAAGGAGATTTGCCCTTGGAAAAATTTATTCCAATCATGCCCTTATCATGAATGAAAGCCTAAATTAATTCATGAAGGGCAAGAAGGTACGTAAATGAACCCTTCCAGCATTATACCATTCATTACTCATAGAATAACAACTCCAACTGTTGGGGGAGAACTGAGAATCTTTTTGTAGGGCCCCTTCCTGTGCCATCTTGAAACCAGTATCTTCCTGGGAATCGAGAAAACCAAACCCTGCAAATGGAAAAACAATCACTAATGACTTATTTTTATCGCTGGGGATAACTGTGTCAATAATCAATAAGCCAAGTTTGGTTGGAAAGAAGTCTGTAGCATTCAGATGGCTTTGCATTCAACTATTCAAGTCTCTTGACCCTTACATCTGGATGAAACATTGACCCGGTCTCACGTAGTGGGGCCCACCTTTTGCAGCGGGAAATTATGTAAACATGACAATGAAAGCATACAACAATGATTGCACTGGGATGTCTATCAAAGTTCCCATTATTGCGCAATGATGAATAAATAATACACAACAGCATTGCAATTGTGTTTTTCGATTACAAATGGTTTTCCAGTGCAAGAAAATACATTACTGACAACATGCTCAATCCAGTGAAGAGATGCGACTGAGTGGGTAAGAGAAACAACCAGTCGACCATCGCTCTATATGCACAATAGAAACAAACATTCTTGCTGATGATAATGAAGAATAATTGAAACCACAATTAATTTTACATGAACTAAAACTTTCCTAAAAAATCAGAAAGTGATACGTTCCACGTACAGCACAATCGTCTAGGAAAAAAGTCTAACCCGAGCCTTGACAAGATGAATAGTGACAACCGTGCCCTCTGATCCCTGCTCGTCGCCGTTCAACTGATGCATATCTCCTTTATCTTCTCAGAACTGCAGCGATGAGGCAGTAGTATGAAACAAACCTTCCTCTCATAGCCATGTTTCTTATTCTATTGATGCAACACCAAGTATGCCCCCAATTTCAGCAGCTCCTCTTTCTACACCACACCTGGAACTCTGGAAGGACAAATAAAGCTTGTTATATCACCAAATATCAAATAAACTTGTTTAAGGGAAGAAAGGACGAGAGAGAAGAAAAGTCATACTTTCACTTTGCTGAAGAGATGCGACGCAAAGAAGAAATCCAGCTGCCTGAAACTGCATTATCACCATTTACATGACCAGGATTGGTGGTTTCAGCAGGTTTAGTTGCATTTACTCTTCCAATACCAGCAGGAGACAAAGATGTAGATGCCATGTATGTATTGCTCAGCATCTATAGGACCAATTAGATTCATTAGGTGGTCTAGTTCATCTAAAGATAAATAATAAGAATAGACGTAAATATAGACTTAAGTAACATCACACATTTGAAATTGTAGTTTATAATGAAATGAAAGAAAATCAGTTTATTGTTTCATATTTGTATCAACAACAAAGTTATTTCCTTTGAACCCAAATGGTTTTCTGTCTTGAATAAGGGGGTCACTAAAGTTATTCTGAACTTAATGTCATATAATAGTTAATCAATAAAATTCATATATTATTTTAAAAAAATTGTTAAACAATATGCAAAAACAAAGAAACAACGCAATTTAAACAAAGGGAAAAAATCTAGTCCATAATGGGGCAGGGGGTATAATACTTACGCTTCTATCAACTGTCTCAAGATTGCCAGAAGCTAAATTCCTATTTGCAGATGACTTGAATTGTGCACGAGCACGAGGACTAGTAGGAAAGGTTGATTTTATCAACTCAGCAGTGTAATTAGCATTGTTTCTCACTGCAATGGGGAACGTAGTAAACGATTTTATCAATAATTTGCAGTACAGTGAAAATGCAAGAAAAGATGTTAAGCAAGTCTAGTGCTTTTGTGCAATGCATTGTTGACAACAATAATATTTTGATCTGAGCTTTCCTTTTTTACACTGAATCAATAAATAAAACAGGACTAGGAGCAAACAAATTCCGTGTTGCTCAATGGCGGCCTGAGAGGCTACATAGTGGAACGGCATGGAGATTTCGTGCTAGCTCCTCTAGAGGATTCACGAGCCAGCACCAAATGGCTTAATTTGACCATCCACCATGGCACCATCAATAAATCAACAAAATACCTCACTAGTTGGTAAGTCATTTAAATCCATTTGATACCAGAATCTTAATAAGCAGTTTGTTTAAGAAATCCAAAATTCTCTAAGATCAAACATGTGCAACTGCTTGACCTGACCTTGATGCTTTTCTGAATTCAATGGAGCTGCCCGGCTATTCTCTCCATGCAGTGGCTGTTAAAATTTAAACTAAATCAACATACTATAAAGGAGAACAGGATAGGAGTCAAATTGTGTGGAAGATGAACCAGTAAAATCAAATCATTGTAACTACCACACGTTAGACTGGCAACTTTAAGGTAAAACGAGTGAGGCTGATGACTGCTAGATATTAGCTAAACCAACATACCCGCTGATGTGTTCTACTTGATTGCGCCTGCTGATATTTTAGGATCGTCCAATCGAATATGTAATCAAACTCATACCCTGCATGAAACACACAATAATCAGTTTAACTCCAGTACAATACATATGGGGAAACTATAGCTATGAGGAAAGTCAGAAACACTGCATTGCATCAAAAGGAATGGCTAATCATTATCGAGTTTACCAACTAAGAATTATGACAAGCAGATGTTGCATTTCACCACCTTTCATGTACAACATAGACAAAAAAACATATTTTAGATCTACTGTAGACTCACCTTCCCGAGTGAAGAGCTCTTTGAACAGACGTTTTACAAAGCCATAATCAGGCCGCTGATCAAATGTCATTGAGTGACAGTAATGGAAATATGATGCAAACTCTACAGGATGAGACTTGCACAAGACCTACAATTCAGACAAAAAGCAAATTAAGAGTCTTATGTGCGGAGTATAACTTAAGAGTTAAAAAAAAGTATATTATACACACACACACCTCAATAGGAGTTGATAGTTTCTTTTCACATATTTTGTCATATTTTTGCTTCTTAGTGGCAGCTTTGAGACCCTGCCATGGTAAGCTGCTAAAAAAACACAAGTTACTTCAAATGAAATCTGAGACCAGACTGACAGAAATCGCATGAATAATGTATCATTACTGAGACCAGGCTGACGAAAATCTATCGGGAAAGCTTTGGGTCATTAAACCACTTCAAAGATTTAAAATTTTCACTAAGTAGGCTCCTTTTGCTGTTTCCCAGCACAGCTAAAATGATAAGATTTATTAGAATACTGGCATAACAAATTTCATTACTCTTAGCTAGTGAGCTACACTCAAGCGGGTATTATTATTATTATAAGGGATCTCCATAGAGAAAGCATTTTGTTGTTGTATACTTGTATTCACATAAATTATATCATTTCAGATGGGACACTTGGGATATTTTATCTTTGAAGTAACCTAATAATGCTTGGAATGAGCTTCCACTCAATAGGAAGGAAGCTCCATATATGCAAAGGTGGTACCTCTTGAAAACATTTCCATATATGCATGTATACATTTCATAAGATACACTAGGCAAAAAACTGCAAGGAATTTTTTTTACCTCCCTCTCAAGAAATAAAGAAGTACGTATCCCAAAGATTCAAGATCATCCCGCCTACTTTGTTCTGCAAAACATAGATAAGTCCGTGAAATTTTTAAATAAAGAATCAGTGGTTCCATCCAGTAACTGTCAAAATATACAACTCATATAAGAATATTTGCATTTCTTTTCCCTCCTCTTTAAGGGAAAAGAGGCAAATAAGGCCACGTACTAACCAAAAAAGGTCAAATAAGGCCTTATTTATGACGCTTTGTCCGGCCTTCGCCATTTGGGGTGGTTCTCGGTGGAATTTTTTGATGAAATTTTTTTATCATCATATTCATCAAGTCTAGTTTACTCATACCAAATTTCAGCTAACAATTCAATCGGGAAGGCATTCAAATGAATTCCTGAAGATAACTGCCCAAAAGGAGATGGCCGGACAGAGCCTCTAAAATAAGGCCTTATTTGACCTTTTTTGGTTAGTACGTGGCCTTATTTGCCCCTTTTCTCTCCTCTTTAATAGTAATTACAAAAAATGGGGGAAGTGTTGTATGAATTCTCACCAATTCCGAGATGAGTATTACAGCTCGCATAACGTGCAGTTCCGGTTAAATTTTTGTTTTCTCTGGAGAAAAACAAAAAATAAATCATAAATCGTCAGGAAGTGGTATAGAAGCATCATATTTATAATGTTAAAATTGGAATTAAGTCACATCATTGCAGCAACCTTAACTTGTAAAAGCTTATTGGAATAGTTAGAAGTTTAAAACAGTATTGTGCCATCCTCACAAAGTCAGATATTTACCAAAAAAATTGTTACTTCACTATTTACATACCGAAGACAGTCAAGATGATAATACTGGAAAAAATGTCTAATGCATTAAAAAAAATGGCTTGGGTGCAGTGGGGAGATGTTAATGGATATAAGATAAGGATCTACCTGTAAGGAATGTGGCGATTTGTAGTTGCATCCCTATACCTTTTAGCAAGACCAAAATCAATTATGTAAACCTGAAAAGTAAATATTTGAGAGAAAATCACTTAGCAATGGGGAGAAATGTTCATCTGAGAACGGACTGGTGAAATCATACGAGCCAATCAAACAGAGCCACCAAAATAACAGAACTGATGCTGAAATGGTATTATTACCTGATTTGCTTTTCGACCAAGGCCCATAAGAAAATTATCTGGTTTGATATCTCTATGTAAAAACCCTTTGGAGTGCACATACTCAATCCTAGTTATCTGCCCAAAAGGAAAGGAGATAGAGCATTTATAATAAAGGATCCTAATAAGGAACTTGTGGGTAATGTTTATACGAAGTGCAAAGCATAGGAAATACAGTCATGTCCATATCAGAGCTTTAAATTTACCATCTGATCAGCCAGCATTAGAACCGTCTTTAATGAAAACTTTCTACCACAATATACAAACAGATCCTCGAGACTTGGACCCAGCAAATCCATGACTAAAGCATTGTCATCTCCATCCACTCCGGACCATTTTATATGGGGAATACCACCTAGATACAAATGGTCAAATGTAGTTGATCAGTAAATCAAGCCACTAAAGATTTTCAGCTACTCTATTCCTTAACCCTTTGTATCATACAGACATGCACTACATATTTAGTTTTGATTAGAAATACTCATTTGTTCAACTAAAACATACTTCCTCCCTGAAGAACATTGTACAACTTGGCCTCGTACAGAAGTTGAGGATGCTTAGTCTTATTATTCTCCTGTCAAGAAAAAGAAACCCATTAGTGTAGGGATTATTAAGTTGATGCAAATGTGTTTGGCGGAATTCTTTTTTTTTTGCGGGGGGGGGGGAGGGGGGAGACATAACATAATGATAATACAAGCAAATGGTGCTCTCAAAATATTTAATGGCAACTTCTCTAAATGAAGTCAGAAACTTCACAAGCATCATTATCTTAAGCTTTCTTTATCATAACTCGGCTAATTGCATGAAAAAAATATCCTTTTCTGTTGCATGTCAGAATGTCTTTTAATTTCTAGCACAGTCTATACTACCACTTTTCTCTTCTTTTAAGGACACTATAAAATCTATGCATCATTTTTCCTACTTATGCAGTTTCGCTAAAAGGAAATGGTGTGAAATAGAAGATTCTTGATTGGGAGGCATGCATACATGAAGGTGACAGCAGCAACTTCTGACACATAATTGAAAATAACCAGACACTATTTAAATACTCCGTATTTGGTTATGTGTTACAAATATCATCTCTCACTAACATTCTGCCAAAATCCATATTTGTCAAGTTTTTCTAAAGCTGTAGCCAATATCCTGAAAAGCTGCTACAGGATACTCAGCTACGTGTTCAATGTTCATATCAAACGCAAAAAAAAATGTAATCTTTGTTCGATCATACAAAAGACCAAAAAAACAATTGAATAGCACCATAAACGGGGTTAAACTGAAGTTGAACTTACAATTTTGACGGCAACAATCTCGAACGTATCGATATGCGTGGCTGGAGAGTATACAAAACCAACGGAGAAAGCCAAAATCAGCAAAAAGCAAATATTGCCGGAGCACATAAAAGCGAATAAGGAAAAAAAGGACTATCACTTACCGAGATAAATTTCTCCAAAAGACCCACTTCCGATCTTACGCCCGAGCTTGAATTTACCTCCGACGACCCTTTCCATGCTACAGATCAACGGATCAGATAGATGTTCGTTCAGATCAGGCGAAACGGAAAAAGAGAGAGGGGTTGAGGTTCCAAGAGGCTGAACCCGAGATCTGGGATGGAAGGAGAGGAATGTAAAAGCCCAGAAAAACGCCAAGAAAAACAGATTAGGAAAAGTAGAGGAGAGAAGAGGGTGAAGTGCGTCAAAGAAGACCTGTGGGGAGAAAACAAAACGTCCGCCGTTACGGAAGAGATAGAGAGAGCAGACGAGTTGCTAGGGTGAGAGGGTAGAGATGCCACGTAGACATGGGCAAAATTTCCTCAAGATAGAGAGAGGCCCAAAATATCCACAATATATTTTTTTTGTATTCAATTATTTGCATCATTAATAATTAATAATATGATCATTTGTGTCTCATTATTGTAATCATTTTTGTACACAAAGTTCATTAAAGAATATCAATACTTCTTGTGGATGATATCATGTACTCCCTCCGTCCCTGAAAGAAGTTTCCACTTTTCTTATTTGGATGTTCCTAATTTAAGTTCTCGTTTCCTTAAAAGGAAAGTTATCTACATCAAAACAGTGATAAACAGTGCAAAATAGTGTCAAACAGTGTCGAAACAGTGTCAAAACAGTAAAATTTACCCCCTGGTAAGTTTACTTGCATCAAAGTGTGTGAAAGTCAAATGAGGAACTTCTTTCGGGGACGGGGAAAGTCAAATGAAGTACTAACTATACAAAGTGTGGGAAGCACAATCATCTATTCTTATTCTACCAACTTGCTAACTTATATCATGGGTTTTATTTAACTGTGTATTTGTTCAATTATTGTATACACCATATAAGGAAAAACTTAAGGTTGGGGCAACAGAAATCATACAGACACTAGGGCGAATGCCCTAGTTAACAAGAATGCGTTGTTTTTTAAAACTGTGCAACCGAACCGGGGAAGGCTTATGGGAGTGGGCTCTCTTGCCCCACATTTGTTGAGCACATGATCTTTGAACCCTACACATTGTGTGTCTTCGGATCAAGACCACATTGATAAACTCATGGAACAAGTGGAGAGTTGTCAAGCAGAAGTAAAGCAATTACGAGAACAAATAAAAATGCAAGGGAATAATAAAGGGACTTCATCTATGAACCCATACCCATGGTTTGGGTGTGGTCTGCCTTCTTCCAGAATCCCCCAACAGATGCCTTACACGTTTCTCCAACAAGGACAATCTATTTTGCCTCAACAAAGCCAATCTGCCTTTCCTAATCCCATTTCCAATGTCCCACAAGCTTCTTCGTCCCAACCTCCACCTTACTATCCTATTTAGATTCCAAATTATTTCATGTCGGGGCAAACATCTACTCAACCTGCAGCTGTTCCATTTGTCCCTCTTCAAAACACAAATAATACCAACTCCCAAGAAGACAATAACACCTTTATCGATAATCTATTTGCTAGTGGCTAGCAGAGGGTTCAATAATGAGGGTGAAGGGCATCATTGAAGACTGATTTTAATTATGAACAATTTCTTTTAATGTCCTCGACAATTTATTTATTTGGAATGTTTATGAAGGATGATGTAGTTTTAAATTACTTGTTTTTGTTATGTTTTAATGCATACAATATGATATTTTTGGATTGAATAGTAGTGTGAAAAGGATGGTGTGAATGGTATTATGCAAAAGATGTTTGTGAATGCTATTGTGGAAAGGATGTTGTTTGTAAATGGTGATCTGAAATCTGAATTGGGTTTCAGGATCAGAAGCAAGATGCAAATAATGCACACTGCAGGTTTAAAACCACTGACGGATAAAATCATTGGAACCAACCATTTAATTATAATTCCGCAGCACATTTCCGATGGTTATAGCTATCTGTAAAATAAATTTCTTTTTTTATCGAACTCACCGACGGAAAGAACCGTTGGTATTTGAGATCCACACGCATGAATTTGAAGTTCACACGTACTTATTTTCGATGAAAAAAGCCACCGCTATCACTGACAAATATTTTCGTCCCTAATTCATGGCTAGTTTTCAGAACCCGTCGCTGTGGCCCGTCGCTTGGTTTTCCAACCACGCTATTTCGACGGATATTATCCGTTAGAATTCCGTCAGTAAACTTCATATCGATGGGAAATTAAACTTCTGCCATTCCTACCTCTGTATCGACCAACTTATAAGTTTTTATCGACCAACTTATAGGTTGCCTATCTACACAACTATGAGAACGCGGCTTATTCTAGGAAAAAAGAAAGGGTTGATGAGTGAGTATGTTCACAATGCAAAAATTCTTGGGGAAAAATTGATTGCACTATAATGTTTGGTACTTGGAGTGATCTCAAACAACGGTACTATATCCATATTGTTGTAGTTTTCTCCTCGAGGGTGCGTATTCTTGCGATGTATTAAGATTTCTAAAGTAAAAAAATTAAATATTTCTATTTGTTAAAGGAATTGTGTTCTAAATTTATCGACTTAGTTGGACACTTGGAGTACAATATGTTATTCAACTTGTATCTGACAATGCTTCGAACTTTGAAAACGCCGGTAAATGTTGGTTTCAAAGTACCCTGCCATGGTATACGATCAAATGTGTTGCACATGGCATTCAACTGCTTTTTAGGACATTTATAATGATGTTCAATGAGTGAGGAGTTGTTGATGATGTAAAATCAATTTATCTATTTTGTTTATACACATCAAATTATTACTGGACATTTTAATTTGATTTCAAATCATATTGGTTTAATCTACTCTAGGCGTTGAAAATTCATTACAGTTATTTGTTACATCTTCTCTCCGGATGGGTTTAGAGTATACTAAGTCATCTGAAGGGGGAAGGATCACATGTATCATTCAAGATCACGATCTTTGTACGCACACAAGAGAAGTGTTATAGATGTTTTAATTTAGAGTCCTTTCCTCGAATTCTGCATTTAGTTGATGGTGATGGATCCACTACTGGGTATTCATATCAAGCAACGAGATGCCGAAAGAATCTATCGAGTTTAAGAGTGCTTTAAAAATATATTATTCACATTATGGGCCAGTCATATAGTTCTTCTCCATGTGAACGCAATTTGAATGCTTTTGAAGCGGCCCAACTCAAGAAGAGAAACATGTTGACTCAAAATGTTAGGAACTCCAATTTATGAAGATGAATTGCATGATGATAGAGAAGTTTTTAAGGATGTTATGATGGAAGAGACTCCAATCAATTTGTTATTCAACTCTTACGGTGGAAGAGACTTCAATCATATATTCAAGTGAAAGACTTGGTAACCCTGACAAAATATGTCTAATTATCGACAACGGTGATGATAATGAAGATGAAGAGTTTAACTTGGATGCTATGTAATGAAGATGACGAGTTTAACTTGATTTTATTCTCTTGTTATCATATGTTATTTTTAGACACATTTTTTGTTGAACACTTGAACTATATGTTGGACTTAATTCCCATTTCGTTTCTTGTTGCAAAATTATGCTATATTGCGATTATTTTTGGAGTAATACAATATGTAGTTAGTTAATTTGTTTTTCTATTTGAATGTGTGTTTAATTTGATTTTCTTTTAGGCTTTTACTATATGTTTTGCATGATCCAAGTACAAGAATGTTTAGTGTTTAAAACAATACCCATATTTTAAATCTGTTTTCTTAAATATTGTATTATACACATATAAAATATGCATTTAAATGTTTTCAAAGTCAAACGTTTTTACCATATCTTTCACTCATGCTACCGAATAAAACATAAATGTATTGAAGTTTGTTTAATTCCAGTACGTATTTAACTAACTACAATAAATATATGTACGCCATTGTATACTAGTTTATTTATACATTTAAATATTTTCAAAGCATATGTTTGGCACGACTAGCTGAAAATGTATTTTTGTGAGTTTTTTAATACTCCTTAACTATTAGCTTTTAGTGAATGAAAAGTTCTTAAAAGAAAAAAGGTGGCAACTGTTTGACAATTGTTTGATTTAGTTCTATTTGATATACAAACTGTTATGACTAATTAATGCGAAAAGGTACATACTTTTCTCAAAAAAGATCTTTTAATGTGATAAAAGCTCTTAAAATTGTCATGACACACATATAACTATGAGTTTTTAGAGGTTTTTTAAATAGTACAAAAGTTAGAAGGTATGAACTTATACCCCTACCAAGTATGCACAAAGATTCAATGCTAAATTTTAATTTTGGAATCTAATCGATGTTAAAAAAAGTAACATGGCTGTGTATTTTACTATGAATTATTTACGTAACTCAAGTCGAGATCATATCTTGATTAGAAGAGAAAGCGGCAAAGCTTTTGTGACAACTAAAAACCAAAATATGATAAATAAAGTTACAAGGGACAAATGAAGTAATAAGTTTGGAAAAACAATATTAGTTTATTTTGCCACTTCAACATTTTTATGTCACCGTCGGTTTATTATGTTACAACACTTACTGATGGTGCCACCATCGTCATTGCATATATCATTGCCACAATGGCAAATGAAGTTGCAATTGCAGAAAAAGTTTTCCAATAAGATTTTAGAAATTGAAAAATTCAAATGGTCGCCTGTGGTGCTTTCTATAGAGGTAGTTGGGTAGGGTGTGAGATCGGATCAAAGGTTGGATAAAATTACAAGAGGGAATTTGAAGGCATAATTCAAATCTGGCGATCCATATACTATATCCAAAAAACCAATTAAGTCCTCATACTATCAAATAACCTAATTACATCCTCATAACTTTTAAAAAATGTTCAAAACATACTTTTAAACGGTAAATCGTTACTTAATAGGCACTTTGGCGCCCACATGACTAATTTGATTCTTTTTCCTTCTCTCCTCCTGTTTTCGTCTAGAACTTTTGGCTTGTCACCCTTTCCTCCCTTCTCTAACAACTTCAACTATCCTCCCACAATCGTAGTTTTTTTTAATACTTTTTTCTCTTTTTTGTTCTTCTCTTTCATGATTCATCTCTTTCTTCCCTTCCTCGTTGATTAGACGCCACCGATCGATATGTAGTTTCTGGATGTCGGCAACATGCACCTACAATAGACTCCGGCAATAAACGCCAACAACAATGGCTTTAAGGTTCATGGTGCTCGATCATTGCCCCGTCGCTCTTAATTGACAATCTTATATCCTGATCCCAAAGAGAGGAAGAAGTCACAAATCCCAAAGAAGAGAAAGAGAAACGGAAGAGAAGGAGAGGAAGAAGTCTTGAATCCTAAAGAAGAGAAGGAGAACTGAAATAGAAGAAATGTGGGATAACAGGGAAGTAAAGGAGATAAAAGCTATTGGTGAGATTGGGGGTGGCCGGTGGTTGGTTAAGGCGGGCGGTGAACTAGCCGGAGATAGGGGAGTCTACGAGCAAAGAAGTGGAAGAAGAAAGAAAAAACGAAAGAAAGAACAAGGAAGAAGAAAGACATTAAAGGGGGAGAAGGAAGGGAAAGGGTAGAAACTAGAAAGAGATGAAGGAAGAAAGAAAAAGAAAAAAAGAAAAATTAATGCTACATGAATTTGATGTGAACGATTACCGACTATATCCATAACCAACTAGCTAAAGGGCAAAAGGTGAGTGCTACGATACGTCACAAACAAATGAGAGAACAATTTCTACAACAATACATTTGATTAATTCAAAACATTATCTCATCATTTATTAATATTTAAATTGTTCAATTGTACAAGTAATACTTTAACTGACATGCATGTGTAAGGCATGATACTTGAGGGAGTTGAGGGTGCTGTAGAATTTACCAAAGTAAAAGTTAGTGTTTTTTTAATAACTAGTGTTTTACCTGGGCATTGCCCCGGGCGGATTTAGAGAATGTTTGGATACTTTGTAAAATGTATACTTTTCCAACATATAAATAATTTATCATTTTACTTTAAATAGGCGTTTGTTCGTTGTGGATAACAAATTAATTGAAAGGAATATACAAATTAATTTGTCATGAGAACCTTTAAACAACACAATTATTTACACAATAATTAAATAAGGTAACTCGAGTATATTATATATATATATATAATACTATGTATGAAGTACGTAGTATATATGAAGTATGAACCCACTTTTTGTTCCTTCCAATCTACTCCGTAATTTTTTTCATAACATTGATCTGGACATTTTTACATTAATTAAAAGCAAAAGGAAGACCAAAAAAGGAAGGTTGGATCTTTAATTTAGTTAACCAAAATATTGGATAGGTTGATTATTTTCATACGAATTGTTACTCATTTTAAATTTAATTTTTTTATCATTAAATTTAATTTATAATATGTCATTTATTAAAGTTTTTCAATGCAGTTGTGGAAGATGAGGAGTAAAAAGAACGTCTTATTCCTAGCCATGTATCATTTGTACCTCTAATTCATATGGAGTAATACGTGGGTATATATATGTGTGTGTGGAAGGTCAAATATAAGTATTTACTTTCGAATATTGTACAGCAGGTTTGCAGACATATTATTTTCCACTTTCCTATGTTAGATTTTACATATGTGTAAATGAATATATTCAAATTAAATAACAGGCAAATGCATATAAATGTACATAGTATATATTTTTTTCAAAATATATTCAAATCAAACATTTCTTTTAATTTAATAGAATATACACGACGTACGTACTGAGTTTGATAATATGTATTTTCAAATGAATATACACTACGTTACTTTTGAATTAGCCACCATTAACATAGTGTAATGAGACTATTATTACTATATGTATACCCACCTTAATGGTCTCATTAATTTTGGAATGTCTAATTACGTTGTAATTAATAGCCTGAGTTACATATATATAAAAAATTACATGCCTTAAGATTCTATTACTTGCAAATATGACCTGAATTAATTGGACTTAATAGCAATATGTAAATTCATAATTGTACTCAATAGCAAATAGTTGAAAATTCAATTTCAATTTCAAGGTTCTACTTTATTAGTAAGATTAGTAAGAAGGTAGATTGGAGGATTAGATCGAATGATTTAATACTATTAGGATTCAATTGAATTTTTGAATATGCTATAAAGACCTACTCCGTATTTAACATTTTTCGAAAATTTGAATTAATTAAATAATTATTAATTCACATTTTCTGAAAAAGGAAAAAGTAGTCATTTTTTGTTTTTTTGAAAGACTATAAAAATAGTCATTTTGGTATTCTTTTCCCTAGAAATAATGAGTTTTTTTCGGAATTAATGCTAAATAAAAAATTATTTACGAAATTAAGGTCGTGTTAAAAGTATTTACCAAAATACTGTTGAGTCTAACCATGGTAGGACAAAGTCGCCAAACGGTTTGGCGACTTTGAAGTCGCCAAATGGTTTGGCCACTCTCACATGCGAACTACGAACGACGGAGGTAGCTTAGGCAAAGAGAACATAGAAATAAGTGTGGGCCCATTTGATATAAAACCCACTTTTTTCTTTAACAGTCCATAACTTTTTCGTTTTTGCTCCACTTTTTATAAAAAATATACCAAAATTCATGATTTTTTATTATCTTTCATTTGACACTAATATTGGATATATAAACTTTAAAAAAAATTGAAGGCTTATTAAACGATATTCTTATTTTCCAATCTCCGTACGGATGATTTCAAAAAATTAATTTTTCTCTACATTGCAAAAAATATGTTGCACGTTTTCAAAAGAATCTTAAACATATAGTAAAATTTTGAAATAATTTTACTATATGTTTAAGATTCTATATGTTGCACCTTCAATTTTTTTAAAAGATTATATATCCAATATTAGTGTCAAATGAAAGATAATAAAAAATCATGAATTTTGGTATTTTTTTTATAAAAAGTGGAGCAAAAACGAAAAAGTTATGGACTGTTAAAGAAAAAAGTGGGTTTTATATATATCAAATGGGGCCCACACTTATTTCTATATTCTCTTTGCCTAAGCTGCCTCCGTAGTTCGTGAGAGTCGCCAAACCATTGGGCGACTTCAAAGTCGACAAACCGTTTGACGGCTTTGTCCTACCATGATTAGACCCGACAGTATTTAGGTAAATACTTTTAACCCGACCTTAATTTCTTAAATAATTTTTTATTTAACATTAATTCCGAAAAAAAGTTAAAAACTCCACATTGAAATAACACTCCTTTTGTCCCACAAATGGACTAAAATGGCCTCTTAGGTGCTGTTCTGTTCGTCTTATTCTTATTACTTATTACTTATTCTTATTTTATTCAGATCAGATCAGATCAGATCAGAAAAATTCAGATCAGATCAGATCAGATCAGAAAAATTCAGATCAGATCAGATCAGATCAGAAAGATTCAGATCAGATCAGAAAGATTCAGATCAGATCAGAAAGATTCAGATCAGGCGAAGAGAAGAGCTTCTTACACCATACAAAATATTAAATTCGTTATAGAATTCATATACGTAGTACTTCTTACTTTTTGGACAAATGGACTTTTCTTCCTTAAGGAGTGTTTGGGATTGCTTAAAAAAAGCGCTTTTTAGCTTTTGGCTTAAAAAAGCTGAAAAGGGTGTTTTCAAATGACAGCTTCTGCTTAAATTAATCACTTAAAAGCTAAAAGCTGGAAGCAGGTAGAAGGGTGCTTTAAACTGCTTCTCACTTTTTCTATTACACAAAAAGTACTTATTTATCAAACACTACCAAATTTTATTTTTTCAGAATTACTTTTTTCTCAAACACTACCAACTTTTACTATTAATCACTTTTCCCAAAATCAGTTTAAAAAATCACTTTTTTAAAATTGAAGCAATCTCAAAAACACTCCGGGGTTTGCGCGGGATTGCGCGGGGGTGACGCTCGTCTCCCTCCTGAGTCATGGTCTCAGCCCTGAGTAGCCACTGGTGACGTTCTTGCTTCCAAAAATCGAAGGGGAAATGGAGAAGATGGTGGCAGTAGGCCTTGTTTGGGGAGCCACAAACGCCTTTATGAAAAAAGGCGTACTCAAATGCGACGAGAAGCTAAGATCGTCTGTCCATTCTAACACGCCGCAACACCCCGCTCTCAAAACCCTCAAGAACTGGTTGGATCTGGTTTTGACTTGGCAGTACTCTTTGCCCTTCCTTCTGAACCTTTCTGCTTCGGCAACTTTCTACGCAATCCTCAGCGATGCACCAATTTCTCTAGCCGTTCCAGTCACCAATGCGACGACGTTTGCAGCCACCGCCGTTTTCGGGGTCATTCTTGGGGAAGAGATCCGGATAGGGCCGGCTCTGTTTGGTACTTTTCTTATTGCTCTTGGAGTTTATATATGTGTCATGTGAATGCAATTTGATCAATGGATGTCTTATTCTCTTTGTTTCCCTGGAAAAATCATTTTATATCATTTTGAGTTGAATAGATGGAGTTGTGGAGACAATGGATGATGAGTTAAGTAATAAGTATATGATAGCCTGTTGCTAGAAATATTTGGCAAAACCCGAAAGGGATTGAAATTCTGTTACTTTCTTGTTGTTGTTGTTGTTGATGATGATGATGATATGCTACCGCTGCTGAGATATTCTATGCGGTCCAAGTTATTATTGGTGTGGAAAATTATGCTTAACTTATGTGCATCATTATTGTATTAATAATTTAATAGGATAGATTTATTATTCACATTTGAGGTCTTGAGGAGATAGGATATAAATTATTTACTGTTCCTAAGCATATTTGGCATTCTGTTTTAGTGATAACTAAATAGATTGTCCCAAAAAATGGTTCTATAGGACATGTTCTACGCCTGAAAGATGGTCATGGAGGCTGGTAGGCGGAGGGATATGAAGTTAACACCTGTAGGGGTCAACCGGAAGATCTCTATAGCGGTCATCAGAGGGATATAATGGTACCATATAGACATTCTTTAGGTTTTTTAGTTAGAAATATCAATATTTCACAGGTTATTATATATTCAAAGATTATACAACACTATTAAAATAATGATTCTAACCAAGGAATGCAATGCGTAAATCTAAATTGTATAAATGACAAGAGGACTAAAAAACACTAAACTAGTCTTAAATACTCCTATCTTTTTCTCTTAGAACATTATTTATGACTTTTCTCTATTATGGAATTGTTGAAATTGTATAAACGACAAAAGCACTAAAGAATACACTAAATTAGTTCTAAATGCTCCTTTCCTATCCTTTTGACCTTTTAGAATATTTATTATGACTTTTCTCTATTATGATTTATGAAATTGTTGAAATTGTTAGGAATTAGAGATTTTGTTTCCACAACATTCCTTTAATAAAAGAAATTTACTCCCATAATGTTTCTTTAATGATGGAAATAACTTTAAAACTTAGCTGTAAGATTTTCCATGAGTTTCAAGAGTCACACAAAAGCTCTTCCCATTGGTGTTTGATTCTCAGGGAAAGCTTTACTTTCCATGGAAAATAAAACTAGGGATTCTGAGTTCTGACTTACTCCTCGCCACCAAATATGATATGTTGCATCACTTTTTATGAAAAGCGATGTTAATTTTCTTCAAAATCAAGAATCCAATGTTTATTTCTTCTTGGGGGAAGTGTTCTCTGTGCATTTTGCGAAGAAACTGACAGTCAATGACTTAAGACTCTTCATAATATTATCATTAGTATTATGTTTAATGTAATTATTACCATTACCCTTACTATTATTAGTAATACGAAGTATGTGGCTAGTACATATTAATAGATGCTCTACTCTTTAAATTATGAAAATGAACATGAAGTGTTTCTTGATTAGCAAAAATGTTTTGAAATGCTCCTACAAGTTTTACATGAGTTTCTGAGGGGGACACATTTGTTGGAAATTGGATATGGAAAAAGAACCAAATGAGTTTGTGCAAGTGAGTTTTCCAACTGAAAGAATCTCCATGGTTATTTGTCTTCCAGTGTGGCTCAAACAATGCCATTGGGTGAAAACCGCCCAGTATTTTTCTTTTCTTGGGTTTTCTGAAATAGCAAATAGGATAATTAGCAAATGTTGAATAGTGCAGCCTGCCCATGAGGGGGCACTATAAACAAGGACCTGATCTAGTTGAACTAAATCCCAAAATTTCATCACCATCATTAATAAACAATTGAGAGAGAAGCAGCCATGATCGTTCAGACCTGGGTAGAGTTCTTCAAGGCCTTGCAAATTTGGTGAATGAATGAAGCTAGTTGGTTGACAGGAAGGCAGACTAAAGCTTGTAGTTGGCAAAAAAAGAAAATGACTTCAATGAAGCATTAGAGCTGACATTTGTTTGCAGGAGGCAAACTAAGCTTGTTCAGGAAGTTATTTTGATATAGAGAAAATGACTAGTGATTTCAATTCCAATAATATGAGTTTGTACTTTTCCCAAAAAGTGACTCATTACATTGTTACCCTCAGAGCCAGAAAAATGACTCATGGGTCGAAACTTAATAAAATACAGAATAAAAAGGATGTATCCCTTTTAAAAAGTACCTAAGTTGAATTTTGCATACGCAACTTAGATAATGGTAGTTTAAATGAGATTTAATGCTTGTTCGTGCTGCACCCCCAGCCACCAAAGCATTGTTGCCTGCCTGCCTGCCCACTGGTGCCATCACCATTACCTCCGTTGTTGCCAGTGATCATCTTCTATAGTTACTATCAAAGTCCCATTAATGACTTCGTTTCAACTTTAACTAAATTACCCCTTAAAGGTAAAACTCTAGCCGTAGTCACTAAAACTCTAGCCGCATGGATTAGAACCTTAATTGCAGTGGTTAGAAGACAAGATAATTCGGATTAGGCATGTCACCAAGTAGGCCTGGACTCGGACCGGGCGGCCCGGCCCGGCCATTGTAGCAACCGGCCCGGCCTGGTGGCCCGGTCCACCGTCGGTTCGGGTCGAACCGGCCCGGTGGTTCCCGGTTCCGGGCCCGGGCCTTCCATATGGTGAACCGGCCCGGCCGGTTCGGGCCCGGTCCGGGCTGGAAATAATTTTTTAGGAAAAGTACGGAAAAGGTACTTGTGGTTGGGCCCGTTTTCAGATAGGGTCATGTGTTTCATTCTTTATCAAAGTAGTTCATGTGTTTGAATTCCGTTATCACAAGAGGGTCACGCCGTTAAAAACGTCTGGAAAAGACCGTTAAAACTTAAAAGTAACTCCAATTTTCAAAAGTGCTCGGAAAATTAAAAGAAAAATACTGAAAGGTGCGCCTCGTCAAGATGACCTCCAAACTACCTCCGCCTTTTGATTTTTCAGATATGTTTGAATTATTTTTGAAAAATGATTCCGCTAATATCACTTTTCCAGTGGACTTTGCGGTGACAAGGGTGACTGAAAACAAAAAAGATAGATGGCCTAGCGGTCATCTTATTGAGGCGCACCTTCCGGTATTTTTCTTTTAGTTTTTCGGGCACTTTTGAAAACCGGAGTTAGTTTTAACGGTCTTTTTCAGACGTTTTTAACGGCGTGACCCTCTTGTGATAACGGAATTCAAACACATGAATCACTTTGATAAAGAATAAAACACATGACCCTATCTGAAAACGGACTCAACCACAAGTACCTTTTCCGTACTTTTCCCTAATTTTTTTTTTATTTTTTTTTGAAATTTATTTAAGTTTTGGGTTAGATTAGGTATTTTGGTCCATTTGAGGTGGTTTGGGGTGGTTTGGGGTTGAGGAAGAGGGGTAGGGGATTAAATAAAGAAGCCAAAAAAAAAAAAAAATAGGGCGGGTGGCCCGGCCCGGAACCGGCCCGGTCTGGCCCGGAACCGGCCACCCCCGGTTCGGGCTCGGGCCTCAATATTCTGAACCGAGGCCCGGCCGGGCACAGGCCCGAGGCTCGAACCGGCCCGGTTCAGTCCAGCCCTGTCACCAAGTCTATATCATCGCAATGAATCGTGACCAGCGACTTATCACTTATGGGCCTTATGGCCACACAGTGTTAGTGGAATGTGGTAGTAACAATTGACGCTATCACTAATGGGTTAAGTAGTTATGTAATCACTATGAGATTTGGATTAATAGTTTCATGGTCATTATTGGTGGTGAAAGTGGCGATGATGGCGGCAGTGATGGTGATGGTTGGGACAGTAAGTGGTTGTGGTTGGCTGACACTGGTTATTCTACATCGTAATAAATGTAGTATTACAATAATGAATGTAAGAAAAACTCGAAATAAATCATATTTTTGAACATATTTTAGTGTAATTCATTAAAAAAACGTTTGATATAAGCACTTGAATGGTTTATTTTTTTTGCAGGAACACTTTGAAGTTTATTGGGTCATTTTCATTTTATTGGTCTCTCATTATCCCTGACAGAGCTCTGTCTTTTTTATTATTCGAATGTTTTTTAGCCATGAGAATCTTTTATTTTTCTCCAATTTTGATATCAATTTTGTGTCATCCTCTCTAAATCAGCTTTTGCATTTTGAAGTTATACACTTATACGGAGTAGTTTTTTGTGATGTTTGTAAATGTAGAAAATTTAATTATAAACACGAGTTTAAATATGATTTTATCAGTATTCTCACTTGTTAAGCATTCTTCTACACCTCATATATTGAGTTGATGAGTCATAACAGAATGTTAATTACCCATAAAAACAGGATGTTAAATAAGAATCATCATTTAGCTCGTGGGGCCTACCTGCTCTATTTGCCAAAAAGCCTAGCCCGGCTCATAGGGCCCATGACTTGGCCCATCCCACTATTTGAAGGATGGGCATGGGTAGAATATTTGAAACCCGACTCAGTTGATTAGTGCGCTCGTCAACACCCATCACGGTCCAACCTATTAAGCCCAAATGAACCCAGTCTAGAAGCTCTTTTATACTCTGTACATTACTAATTCAATACACTAATTTCATAATTAGTAACGTATATAAGTATATAACCATATAAGTAATGAGTAATAGTGGAAGAGATTGAAGTTATAGATGATTGTTAGAATGTTGGGAAAAGGTGAAAATAGGCCCATGTATTAACCCAAAAAGGTCAAATAAGCCCTTATTTAAGAAGTTCTGTCCGGCCGTCGTCATTTGAGGTGGTTCCCGGTGGAATTTTTGGATGAATTTTTTTTAGCATCTTATTCATCAAGTCTAGTTTGCTCATACCAAATTTCAGCTAAAACTTCAATCGGGAAGACATTCAAATGAATTCTTGAAGATAATTGTGCTTCTAACTGCGCAATTGTTTTCAAGAATTCATTTGAATGCCTTCCCGATTGAAGTTTTGGCTGAAATTTTGTATAAGTAAACTAGACTTAATGAATAAGATGCTCAAAAATTTTCATCAAAAAATTCCACCGGGAACCACTCCAAATGGCGACGGCCGAACAGAGCCTCCTAAATAAGGGCTTATTTGACCTTTTTTGGTTAGTACATGGGCCTATTTGCACCTTTTCCCTAGAATGTTAGGTGATAAAAGTTTGTGATAGTGCTCCAGAATTTTGACAAAGAAGAATAAGCGTGACATTTATGTATTTGTACATATGTACTCCCTCCGTCCCCCTAACTTTGTCCCGTTTTACTTTTTTCGTCCGTCTCATTAAGTTTGTCCCATACCATATTAGATAATATTTGAGTGGTTAGAATTCATTTCTACTTTATTTTACACTTTATCA